GGAATGAAGAAAGGAACCATGTGAGGATGAGCTGGTGGGTGGAGGCACCTCAAATCACAGGTGATGGGAGCTGTGATCAGCACCAGAACAGGCTTAGTCCTGTCCCTTCCTTTGGGATTTAAGGAGCTGGACAAGGGCAGGAGCAGCAGTGCCAGCACAGGGAGCTGTGACCTCAGTGTCCTGCCCAAGGCTGTGTCTCCTCCCAGAGGTATTCTCACCAGTCTCTGTTCACAGTAGAGTTTTGCAATGACTGAGCAGAAGGAAAGACACAACTTCCTTGTAAAGCAAACCTCAAATCCTTCTCCGAACCTCAATTCCTCTTCTTAGCTCAATCCTTGAAACAACCAGAGACCAAGTGCTAAAAATACCCTTTCCTTCCCCTTCCACACTGGGTTGGTTTTGGGGGCATGAGGGGATTCCCAGCCCTGGAGAAAGCATTCCCTTCCCCAGCTGGAGACCTCCTGGGGCTTCAGCAGTGGCTTCTAGGCAGGGAGAGACCAGAGGAAGCAGGGAGGACATTGGAAAATGTCCCTCTCCACCTCCCTACCCAGTGCTGTCCACCCTGGGGACACAGCCAGGAGAGGACAAACCCAAGGAGCAACCCTGTGGTTGGCTTGGGGTTTGTCTCCACTCGGAGTTGACTCCTGGGATGAAGATGGGATGAAGTTGCCTCCTGGAATGAAACTAATTAGTGGAGGAACATCAAATGGTTGTCTTGGATGGCCAAAAGTTTGTGTCCACCACTCCTAAGACTTGGTCAGAGGCCAAAGCAAGCACTCAGGGAAGGTTTGGGAGCTGTGTAAGCTCACAGACACCTGTTCCCATCCCAAGGGCTGGTGGCTCCCAGGCTCAGGAGATACAGGACCTCCCAGGGACTCCCTTGCCATCCAAGTGTCTCCTCCAGCCCCTGGTGACCTCAGTGCTCTCCATCCCACACTACCTATCAACAGAGCATGTGAGGAGCCACATCCTTTTGCCTGGAGGCAGTGACGAAGGAGGTGGTGGTGGTGGCGGCACAATGTCTTGTGGCACTGATGTCATGGCTGGAGACAGGTCCTGCTCCTGGGCAGCTCCTACCACATGTCAGAGCTTGTGGGTGAGACTCCTGCTGCTGGGACCATCCTGTGACCTCCAGGGGTTGGGCACAGCAATGAGTGTCATCCTGGGTGGCAGGTGACATCCTGGTGTGGAGTTCTTCTTGCTTTCAGTGGAACTGTCCTCCTTCCTCTTTCCAAGCCATGAGCTCAGCTCAGGATGGGTACTGAGAACAGGCTGGGGGTGGCAGGGACTCTCTCCTGCCAGCTGAGCCCTTCTTGAGCCTCCTCCCAGTGCCACCTGTCCCCACAGCCACCCAGAGCTGCTGAGACTGTAGCTCTGCAGCTGCTCTGAGGAGACACCTGGGCACACTTCACATCCTGCTGTGTCCAGGGCAGTGTCCGACTGCAGGCAGCCCAGAGGTGGCTCTGCAGGCTGGGCTGAGGGATCCAGCTGCAGAACATCTGCACCCCCAGCCTGGGGTTGTCTGTGGCTTGGACATTGCCCTCAGAACTGGTGTGGACTCAGATCTTGTTGGACCCATGAGCCCATGACCTGTTTTTCTCTTAACCAGGAAAGCACAAAGACATTAATAATGACACAAGGACATCAATAAGGACACCAACCCAACATTCCATCTCCCTGCCTCATTTTCCATGCCTTCACAGCCCTTTCCTCAGCCTTGGAGGTTCTCCTGTCTGGAGAAGTGACGCTGCAGAGGCACCACAAAGCAGGAGGGACACAGGGACACACAGGGTGACACATTCCCCATCTGCTCCAGCCTGAGGCTCCTCTGGATGGAGCTCTGTGTGCCAAGGAGCTGGTGGCAGGTCCCAGCCTGGCTGGAACCCCCAAGAGAGGAGCAAAGTGACATGAACAACACGTTTGTCCTCACCCCCAGGCTGGGAAGAGCTGCCAGGGGAGTTGAGTAGCACTGAGGGATAATGGGAAGCAGCAGTGGCAAAGCCCCAGGGATGGGAGAGACACATGGGGTGATGTCCTAGAGGTGACACATGAGGACAAGGCACTGCCAGCAGCCTCCTGGCCCTTCCCAGAGCCACAGAAGTGGTGCCACATTGGCTAAGAGCATGGCAAGGCAGCTCAGCTTGGAGAGCCAGGCTAGGGCATGAGGATAGGGGTTCATAGATTCAGAGTGTGTTTGAGGGTTGGAATGGAGCTCAGAGCTCACCCAGCCTCACCCCCTGCCCTGGGCAGGGACACCTCCCACCAGAGCAGGTTGCTCAAGGCTCAGCCAACCTGGCTGTGAACACTGCCAGGGTTGGGGCAGCCACAGCCTCCCTGGGCAACCTGGGACAGTGTCTCACCACCAGAACAGGGAAAACTTCTGCCTAACATCTAACCTAAACTTCCCTCTTTCAATTTGTGCCCATTGCCCCTTGTCCTGTCCCTGCAGCTCCTAACACAGAGTCCTCTGCAGCTTCCCTGGAGCCCCTTCAGCTCCTGGAAGGTGCTCTGAGGTCTCCACACAACCTTCTCTTCTCCAGGCTGAAGAGCCCCAACTCCCTCAGCCTGTCCTCACAGGGGAGATGCTCCAACCCTCTGAGCAACTTCATGGCCTCCTCTGCACTTGCTCCAACACTTCCACGTCCTTCTCCCATTGAGGCACCATAACTCTGCAGCTGCAGGGATGTACCTCTGGTTGGTGGAACAACAGCCTGAACCATTTTACCTTCATTATCCTGTCAGAATTGGGGAGATTTAGGGTCATTTATGATCTGTCTGAACACAGAGGGTGAGGAGAGGTCTTTGTTCTGCCAGGCTGGAGGGGCTTGAGGAAAGAGATCTGCCAGTCACCTCCCAGGAGATCTTCAGCTCTTGAAGCAATTGCAGCTCTGACCTTGACCTCTGTGAAAAGAAAGGAAAAATAAAGGGGGAAAGGGAAAAAAAAAGGTGTACTGATTCAATGAGCTGCAGAGAAGGTAATTTCCATCTGGGTTAGCAGAACTGGCTGGGAATTTCTGAGCACATCTGTTCTGCTCTGATCCAGAGGAATGTGAATTCCACTGCAAAGAAAGAGTTTTCCTGGATTTCTCAACGAGTTCTCTAGAAGATTTGTCAATGGTCACAACACTTTAACCACTGCTGCTTTTCCTGTTACACCAGAGATTACTTAGCCTCTGCTGCCTCCAGCCTGACCCAAAACACAACTCTTTGGCCATCCTCAATTCATTTGTTCAACTTTCAATGTTCTACAGATCTCTGAGGTGCCAAGAGATGTCTGGGATAGGGAAACCATTTCTCCTGAAGCATGGGGAGCTCTGGGTGAGGAGCAATGCAGAAGCCAACTCAGAGTTGGGTTTCTCTTGCCCCTTGTGCTGGTTCCTGCTGCCATGGATGTGCTTTGGTCCCACCTCATCATTCCCTGTGCCAGCTTTGGGTGCTCTCTCCATGCTCTGCTCCTGGCCAAGCTCTTCCTGTGGCTGGGAGAAGGGACATTGCCCTCAGAGCTGACATGGACAGGCTGGAAAACCTTGCCCTAAGCTTTGCAGAATCCTAAAGGCTGGAGAACCTCCCACCCTTTTCCCTGAGCTTCAGAGAATCCTTAATGCTAGCAAAGTCCTTTAAGATCACCGAGTCCAATTCTGTGCCTTTGGGAGACTTTTCTGCAGGACAAACCCCCTCCCAGGATCCTCCCTCCTTTTTTTTTTTTTAAGGCCCATTAGAGTTTCTCTAATACCCAGCGAAGACTCGAGGCAGCAGCAGCAGCTGCTGCTGTCCCCAAGTGCCACCATCCCCCTGAAGGGCTCAACCCCCTCCAGCTGCTGCTGCAGGACATGACAGAGCCTGAGTCAACAGCTCTGGATAAACACAGCCTGGAGCACTCAGGGCAGTGCCTGGCACCGAGGGAAGGCAGCACGTGGTGGCCCTGAGCACCCAGTGGTACGTGATGTCCCCACGGGGCACCCAGCACGGGGCACTGGGAGGAGGATGCTGGTGGGAGTGGGAGGAGAAGCACCACAAAGGGCAAGATGTGAGGGAAGCTCAGCCTGGAGGGGGTTAAAGGGACAGAGGGCACAGAAGTGGACCAGAAGCTGCCACTGAAGGCAACAGCAGCACTTTGGGGTCTGCCCAGGTGGCCCTGAAGTGTCCCCAAGTGCTGGGCTGGGGCAGGAGGGTGGCACAGGGTGAGGGATGTGCTGAGTGAACCCTCCTGAAATGTGCAAGCAGGTCCTTGTTCCAGGGATGCGGTGAACTCACCCTGCTGCCCTGGTGCTTCCCAGGCACACAGGTCCTTGCTCCAAAGATGCACTGAACTCACCCACCTACTGCCACAGTTCTTTCCAGGCACATAGAAACACAAGTCCCTGCCCCAGGGACATGATGAATTCACCCTCCTGCTGCGCTGGAGCTTCCCAGGCACACTCAGGATCACAGGTCCCTGCCCCAGGGATGAACTGAGCTCATCCTCCTGTTCTCATGGTGCTTCCTGGGCATGCAAGAAAGCAAGTCCCTGCTCCAGAGACACACTGAACTCACTCTCCTGCTGTCCTGGTGCTTCCTGGGTACACAAGGACACAGGTCCCTGCTCCAGGGAGCTCAGGTGCCACCCCAGGACAGTGGACACCACTGGGGAGAAGCACATGAGAGACTCAGAGGGGCTTGGCAGCTCCTGGCACACTCCATGCCCAGATCCCAACTGGCTGTGGCTCCCCAGGGACATCACCCTGGGACAGCCCTGGGAATGGAGCTGAGGAGCACCAGGATGGGAGAGCACAAGGGCTCACAGTGGCTGTGGCTCAGCAGCCAAGGGGGACAGGGGAGCACCAAGGGGAAGGTGTGTGTGGAAACAGGAGATCCAGCTAAGAGCCACCTTGGAGCAGGAGGCTGTGACCTGTCCCCAGGTCCCTGCAGGGTGGGGACACACAACATCAGCCTCCCCTGCCATGCCCCAGGCACTGCCAGCAGCTCTCTGGGAGAGGGAACTGAGCAGATCAAAGGGAAACTGAGACAGGGATGGATGGAAACACAGGGATGGACACAACACCACCAAAGGCACTGAGGGTCCTGTAGGAGCTGAATACCCAGCAAAGACCAAGAAGTTGCAGCCCAAACATCTGTTTTACAGCCAAACTGCTCTTTGCTTCCCAGTAAAACCATGATAAGCTTGAAAGGAAATACAGAAAAAATACAGAAGAGGCAAGTGAAGTAATTGGGATTTTAAGTAACTTCCAAGCCCTTTTGCTCCCGCAACCTCCAACCCCCCAGGTGTGTGGCCAAGCTGGGCCCAGTGGGGACTTCCAAGGTGGAACCAGGGAGATGTGAAGTGTGAAAGGCTTTAGTGCAGACTCAGTTTTGTCCTGCCCTGGGGCTGATTCAGCCCTTCAGGTGCTCCTCAAGCACCTGAGTGTGGGGGGCTCAGCACCATTCTGCCCTGGGGAGATGGATGTGTCACACCTGGGATGGACAGAGAGAGACCAGGAACATCTCATCATCACACAGTGCCAACAGCTCCATCCCACTCAGCACCAACTCCTGCTGCTCTCCCTAGCAGAGCTCTGAGCCCTCTGGGTTCAGCCCTGGCTTTGTGGGTGCTCAGAGGGTGCCAAGCCCACCAAGAACCACAACTCATCAAGCACTTACCATGGACAGGGACCAGCTGCTTCTGCCAGCACCACCTCGGGGTCCAGGCATTGAAGATGGGACATCCTGCAGCCACCTGAAGAGCTCCACGTCACCCAGGGACAGCACGGGTTGGTTTGCTCTCATTCCCACTATCCCAGTGGATACTGGGATGTCCTCCCAGCACCTTGGAAGCACTTTGAGCCCTGCCAGCTCCACAGCCACCACCACTCCCACTCCAATTCCCTGCCTGCTCCTCCCTGCTCTGAGAGCAGCAGCATCTATTTAGCAGAGCTATTAAGCCTATTTAAAGGCAAGCAGGGCTTGTGGGAAAGCTGGGAAACCCACAGGTGGCTCCAATGGAGATAATTCCCAGCCCACAGCAGAGTGTGATGGGTCAGGGGGTGAAGGGAATGATCAATCCAACCAGCCCAGGGCTTGGCTTCTTGTCCTGGATGGGACAAGGGTAGAAAACCCACTCAAAACTTCTTGTAGTGTGTTTAATTTACAGCAGGGATCAGAGGAGATGGGAGAACATTCCTCCTGGAGAAGGAGAGGTGGCCCAGAGCTCACGTCAACCCAGCCCAGAGCCCAAGACCCCCCACACTCCCCTCCCTGGGCTCACGAACACACAGGAACCAGCAACATAAACCACAACCATATTATTACCATGAACGTTATTAACAGTAATGAGAGTTCTGAGTGATGGCTACAGCTCTGGGCTACCCTTGGGTGATAATCTCTGGTGGTCTTTCCTCAGCTGATCCTTGTCCTTTGAGACTGGGGACAGACTCCCACACACAGCTCTGGGCTACACTTGGGTGATGTTGGCTGGTGGCTTCTCCTCAGCTGATCTTTCTCCTTTGCGATGAGATGGAAAGACTCCCACCCTGTTTCTCCTCAGTGCCACACACTCCAGAGGCTTCTGCCCTTTCCTCAGGAGGCAGCACACCACAGCACTGAGGAGGGAGAGGTTCACCAGCACCACCAGCACAGCCAGTGAGACACTGCCCTTGGGGCTGGGACAGAGCCACTGGGGAGAGCTGGTGATCCTGGCCGAGACATTCTGCCCATGCTCCTGGAAGGCACAACGAGCTTCCTCCAGGTCCTGCACAGCCACCGCAGCCTCACGCAGCACCTCCAGCCAGCCCAGAGAGCAGCAGCTGAAGGGGTTCCCAGCCACAGCCACAGTCCTCAGGCTCTGGGACCAGCTGCCCAGGTCTCCCAGGGTCTGCAGGTTGTTATCCCGAACATCCAGGCTCTCCAGAGGGGAGCAAGACAGCCCTGAGGGCAGCAGGCTCAGGTGGTTGCCCGAGAGGTCCAGGGCGCGGAGCACGGCCAGGCAGGGCAGCACTGCCTTGCTCTCATCCATCTGGTTGTCCCTCAGGGACAGCTCCTGCAGGGATTGCTCCAACCCCCCCAGGGCTTCCCTGGGCAAAGACAGGTCCCTGTTCCCTGAGAGGTCCAGGGAGAGCAGCGAGGTCTGGTTGAAGGCATAGGGGTGCAGCCTGGAGATGTTGTTGTGGCGAAGGTTGAGGTGCCTCAAGCCAGGCATATTGTAGAAGGGAGTGCAGGTGTCTCCAGGAGCTGACACATGAGTTTCCCCTCCCAAATCTCTTCCCTGGCTCTCACAAGGCTGGAGGCTGTTGGAGCCCAGATCCATGGTCTCCAGGAGAGGCAGAGAGCTGAAGAACCAGCGTGGCAGCACACGGAGGGAGTTGCCGTGGAGGTTCAGGGAGCGCACGGACAGCACAGGCGAGTGCTCTCCAGGCTCTGTGCTGCTGCCCAGTGACTCCCAGGTGACATCCTGGAGGCAGTTCAGAGCCAGGCTGAGGCTCTGCAGAGAGCCTAGCCTGTGGAAAAAGGCAAATGGGAACAGCTCCAGGCGGTTATTGCTGAGATCCAAGTCAGCCACACGAGCCGGAGGAGCCGTGGGACGCGTGGTCCTGTTGAACCACACCATCTCCTTGTAGAGCAGCACAAACTCCCCTGGCTGCTGTGAGCCTGGCAGCAGGGAAGCAATGAGGTTGTGGGAGAGGTTTAGGTGGGTGAGCTCATGGGCTTTGGGGAGCTCTGGGAAGTAGAGGAGTCTGTTATGGCTCAAGTCAAGCACTCGCAGCAGGTAGTGCTCAGCTCCCTCCTCCTCCCTCTCTGAGGAGAAGAGCTCCAGGGCATTGTGGCTGAGGTTTAAAACTTGCAGCTGCATCAGGCTGAAGCCAGAGATACAGTGGAGGGAGTTGAAAGCCATGTTCAGCACCTCCAGCTCTTCCAGAGGCTCAAAAACTCCCTCCTGGATGTCCATGATGTAGTTGTGGCTGAGGTCAAGCTGGCGCAGCTGTGAGGAGCTCTGGAAGATCCCTGACAGCAGCTTGGTCAGCCTGTTCCCAGACAGGTCCAACATCCTCAGGCTGGTCAGGTTGCTGATGTACCAGCCTGCCATGTGGCTCTCCAGGTTATTCACAGACAGGTCCAGGACCTCTATATTCCTCAGGAGATGGAAAGCTTCCCCATTGGCCAAGTAGTTGTGGTCCAGGTGGTTGGAGCCCAAGAGGAGTGAGCGCAGCTGAGGCAGCTGAGCCAGGGCTGGGGCTGACACAGCTTCCAGCTGGTTGAAGCACATATCCAGGTACTCCAGCTGGCCAAATCCTGGCAGGGAGTTGCCTGACAAGTTTTGGATGAAGTTGTTGGAGAGTTCAAGATACTTAATTCCTTGGCCAAGCTCCTTGGGAAAGTTCTGCAGGCCAAGTCCTTTGCAAGACACCTTTGCGGGGCTCTGTGGAGAGACAGGAGAAGCTCTGAGCATCAGGGGGCTGCAAACCACAGCTCCAGCTGAGCCACATGCTGTCCAAGATGGGCATGAGCAAGTGGAAATGAGCACTGATCTCCTATCCCAAGCTCAACTGGTCTAGAGCATCCCTGTCTGGGCAGGGGAAGGGCACTGTGCTGGGCTCTTCCTTCCTTCTCCATCCAAACAGTTTTTCTCTGGAGTTGGGAGCTTGGATGGGGAGCTGTCCCCTGCTTCCTGGGGACAGAAACCAGCTCTCCCCATCCAGGCTCCCAAGTGACTCACTAACATCCATGGCTCCATCCTGCTCCGAGCACCTCAGGCACAGCAGGGACATGGGAGCAGCTGGATGCTGGGATCAACTCACAGGAGACTGGTTCACAGACAGGAAACCAGAGGAAAAGCAGTGAAGGATAAAGAGCTGGAGGCTGGAAGGAAGAGGGAGCCACGGGCAGGAGAGGCAGAGGGATGCTCACAGCCCCAGTGATGCTGCTGGAGCCAGCCCAGCCCAGGTGCTCCTTGGAAAACAGCCTTACCTGCTGGCACAGTGTGGATTTAGGCTTCGTCTCCGTGCTAGACTGTGCTCTGAGGACAGACAGGAGCAGCCAGAGCAGCAAACATCCTCCTCCAGCCAGGAGCATGTTGTGCTGCGGCGCTGCCAGCCCGTCCCGCTCCCCCGGGCGCTCTGGCGAGCTGGGCAGGAGCCAAGCGCTGTATAAATAGGCTTCAGGATGGGATGGGGGAAGGAGATAAGGCATGTGGGTGTTCGCTGTACGGAAGTGGGAAAAGAAAGCCATAAGGCTGCGGGGGGGGGGGGGGGG